GAAAATTCAAAATTCCAGAAATTTCTTCAAACGATATTACTCTATGTCGAATGTTGTCGATACTAACCATATCTGACTTTTAGGCAAATTCTGAGCCACGAGTAACGTTCAAGTCAAATACCAACGGTTTTAATTATTCGGAACGACACAGCACGTGTGAGCCGTTAGAGCTATACTTATACGTTTGAAAAATATTCAAATAAAGATCTGTAACACATAATCCTAGTCAAACTACCCCATTAAATCAAATAACCAGTGGCCGTCGGTGGACAACAATCATTATTGTTTTTAAATAAATTATATTATAACTCATAACTATTCTGCAAATATACGTATTATTAACGTATTATTTTCTCGCGGTTGTGACTTGCATTAAGCTGTAGATAATCGCGGTAGCTAGATAAACTAAGTTTATTTATTTCAAGAACAGTTCTTTGTTCACTCGAAAGGCACTATAAAATAATCTGAAAACCCGAAACTCATGTTTTTCTTTGAAAAATGTCCGCGGCTACAAACAATTATTTATCGGACGAATTCGATCTTTGTCACGCTTATAATAATAAAAGACGTAACTATTATTTTTAATTTCATTATTCGCAATAATTATTAGTGAATTGTAGAGTCTTAGACTATTTAGTACTATATTATATTCAAACTATTGATGTAATAATTGATAATATAGGTATAGTTGATTTTATGACTACAATATTGTATGAATTAAATTGATCACACGCATACACATAGGTTGCTAGTGATAAATATTTTATCGTTATAGATGCTTGAAAATTCTTAGAATTATAGCTTTTAATTAGTTTTTAATTATACTTGGCCACTTTGGTCAGCTACCTATTATCTTCATATTATAATAATATTATAGGTATAGTTTTTAAGCTTATAAATTGTCACGTAACATAATATTCGAAATTCTTTGATTGTGCACATATAGGTACTTTATGGCAGCACACTGGATTTAAGTAACTCAATTTTACTTAGTAAAAATAATAAAGTTACGTAAATAAATTAACTTTTTGTAGTTTTAATTAAAATATTACATAATATAAAAACAATAAAAAAAAATATAAATATAAATATGGCTTTCGTTTTGATTAAAAGTAGAACTGACTTGCCTCTTTTCGTGGTTTCTTGAGAAAACAGTTTTTGAATTATTAACACCATTCTGTGTCCGCGATGCATTTTCCTTTGAACCATTTATACATCAAACGCGTTTTAAGACTATAACTGCTAAGGTCTACAGAGTTGTTCAAAAAGTTCGGATTCTGAAACAAAAATTAATTTATTAATCAATAGAAATTCATTGTGTAACTTTATATTTAAAATATGCTTGTCTGAGACTTGATTTCAACAGGCAGTTAATAGCCCAGCTCTCTGACAACCCTTTTTTACTCGTATATTATTCTGTTTTGTTTTCATCTATTTTAATATAATTTGTCATCACTAATTTCAGTTTGGTATCGTATACGACTTATGTGATTTTATGAATTTCCGTTAAATGTAAAATATAATATATTATATAAATAAATAATCGTAGGTAGGTGTTGCAAAACGTAAAAAAAACACAAATCCATCGTAGTTCATTAATACATATTAATAATAACTTACGAATTTCGGCGGGAAAACTCTTTTGCAGTCGTGCCGATCAATATATTCCCGATAAGCATTTGTAAATTGAATTTTTGTATCTCTGTCCATGCAAGGACTGCATAATAGGCAGTCTTCTGAATCGCACAGATCACAGTTCAGTCTAGCGCACTTTTCTGGGTATGCCACTATATTTTTCGTGGACACTGCCATCTTAATACTGTCTCCTTTGCTAAACATATACAAATAGTGAATACAATAAATTAAAATGACTGTGAAAATTAAACCGATGAAAATAATTATTATCATTACAATAACTATAATCAATAAACATTGTATAGTCGAAAATTTAGAAGCCATCCTTGTATACTACGACATCTCCGAAATATAGTTTTAAATTTATTGTACTGGACATTGATCTCTAAATATTAACAATTTTACTCTCTTCATTGTACCGACTTACATCACTAAAAGTGTTCAATGTATAATATCTACGTAGTATTTGTATACAGGGCGACTCACCAAGCATACTCGCCCACATTTTCCCTTTAATAATGAATTTAATAAAATTCTGATTTATCATGATATCTATAGAATTTTGAATATACTCAAAGGCAATTTTTTCAAGTTTTTGAATTTTTTTGTACTACTTATGGAGAATATTGTGGCGATACAAGCTTCTGTTTCAATGAGAATTCGCTTTTTTGCTTTAAACTATTAAGTGGATGATTTTTTTGAAAAGTTGTACAAAAAATCTTAAGAATTTGAAAATATGGCCTCAGAGTATCTATATTTTAAAATTACAAAAATCAGATTTTGAATAACTGCATTATTGAAGAAAAAAGTGGTTGACCATGCTTAGTGAATCACCATGTATAATGTATCAAGGTACCAATGTATTCCAATTTAAATATAAATAATAAAATATGATATAATGTGCCACAATATACAAAATACAATAACAATAATGAAAACTTTTCATCGTTCGTCATAATATTATTATACACAAATTTAAAAATGATTTCACATTTTATTTATTCAACATTTTTCCTAGAAATAAATTGAATGTGTTTAACCATTTATAAATGTTTTTACACGTGTAATGCACAGCATGTAACGCATTAAAAAACACATTAAACTTGTTCAGCTCTAATAACAGTTCTTCCGATTTAACCAAACATAACAAACTTGTAAGAGTTTAGATTTAAGACGTCAATTTATAGGTACATTGTTATTGATGTGCAAATCCACTTAATTATATTTTAATAATATAATATATCATATTTTACTATTACAAAGTATTTATTTTATATTTTCTTTAAGTATTTAAACGTATTTACTAAATGCCTTATTAAAAATTGCTCTAAAACAGACTTGCTCACTTTTTTTTACATTTGTTTAGTTCTAATTGTTCTAAATAGCTGTAACAATTGTATACTTATAATACATAATTTTTAAATGGCACTGTTCTAATAACATTTTAGTGTTATTAATGAGTAGGTATCAGTATAATAACAGAAACAAAATACATCCAATATTACCGTTCAAAATGAGTCAGGCCAACAATAGCAAATAAATTGAATAACACTTGTTCGTAAAGTAAACGATTTTGTGGGTAATGAGCCGATGACAAATTTGGCGACATGTTGACCTAAAAACAAATTTAACAATTAAAAATAAATACAATCAATAGGTTATTTGGATTTCAAAAATAGCTCATTAGACTTGAATCCGATTGACTCACCTCCATTATAAACACCTTTAGATCGTTATCAACAACAAAATCGAAACGTGCCATTTCAAAAAAATTCGTTTTCGACTTATATTTGTTCATCAGATTTCTTATCATTGATTCTTTTTCTAAACATACGACTCGTATGGCGTCTTCCAGTTGGTCCCATATTATTGTAGCGTCTCTTCCTTTAAACAAGAAACATTGATATTTCAATACAAACAGTCCGATTCAACATAGTTCTCCGGAATGCTGACCTTGAGCTTTCAAATGAGATTCAACAGAAACTTTCATTGAAGCGCCTTGATCAACGTAATATTTTTTTAGAGACGGAACTTCCCAAGTTGGTAAATAATCATCTCTTATTACGTATTTATCTATGTTGTCGGGATTGAATGGATGGTATTTTTTTGGGCAAAATCTAAAAATACATTCCAAAATATAAACGAACGTCACTCTGTCTCACACACAAAATCTAAACCACGTACACATTTTTTGTTTCTAGCAATGAAAACAAATACATAATTAATAATAAATAAAAAATAAAACAATTACAGTAGGGAAGTCGTAACATTTATGAGTTTTTACAAATTATATTATTTCAATGTATCTTAAAGCCAACATCTGTTAGTAACTGTGACTTATTATAAAATTCGTTAAAATGTTTTTAATGATTATTTATGAAATGTATATTAATTATAATAAGCATTAAGCATTATTTGAGTTGGTATACCTAATTAGAGTGTAAAAAGCTTCACTTAGATAAAAGAAAACTGGAAGGAGTTATATTATGTAGTAGGTACTCAATTGGTACATATAGTCATTTAAGTTTTTAGGTAAAACATTTGATTTTGTCAACTATTAAAAACTAATATCAACAATAAAATATACCATATTATAAAATCAACCATATTAAATGTGTAAATTCTTAAATAATAATTTAATTTAAAATTAACTTCAAGCTGCATATTCTACTATTATTATTTAACTGAAACCCAACAGAACGTTTATATATTTAATTTGCAATTTTATCAAACCAATAATCACGTTGGTTAAGTAAAACATAAATCATTAAAAAAAAAATAATACGTTTCTTCTTCCACATTTTTTATTGCGTCTATTAGAATTAAAATAAAAACCAACCTTGCAAACCACACGTGATCCGTATTGTTCTAGGCATCATACTTAGTTTTAAATGCCATAGCTCACCTAAAATATTGCATAATACGCATAAAGAAATAAATAAAGTTAAAAATGTTCTAAGAGAGGTTTATGTACACCTGTACATTTAAGGCGGATGGATAGTAGCGTAAGACATAAATGAAAAACCGATCTTAATTATTGCCCAAAATTAAATATTTTTTATCATCACATTTAAAACTGACATAAATAGATGAAATAAAAAGTGTTCCTCACATACGTATGGATGTAATACTTTTATTAAAAGAAATTCATTGCTTTTGACATCTAATAATTAAACCTATAATTTCACCTTAACTAAAAAATATTTTAGTAATTGGAATTTTACTTTGATGTGTGATTAATGATTACTGATAACTATAATAGGTACCCATATAATAATATACTTTATAGATAGTTGATTTGATGGATTTGATTTTATTCATATTGGCCATACATATTTTATAATATTACTTCATTGTAACTCTAGGGTAACAGCTGAATATGTATAAAATGTTATTGAGCATCAGTTCAAAACAGGGATTGTATTTTGAACAGAAAACGCAGACGGACCAAATGCCCTAGGCCTACTATTGAGTTTATAAAGTTAATTATGTTACTAAAATGTTTTATTATAAATTATATTGATGTTTAAAATATATTACCTTTAGTTTATTTTTTATTTACATCGTAGTTTTTAGTCTAAGTATATCATTTAGTTATATATTATGTAGAACATAGAACATGTTTTTTATTTGATGCATTAAACATTTTACTGTAGTTGAATCTATTTACAATTTACTCATTGGATTAAAATTAATAAATACATTTAATTTATTAAAATTATGAATGTCTTATTTTATTACACACAGCATGGACTATTTTATTCTAAAATAATATACATGTTTGACAATGGAGGTATAACATCATATTCATTTAGCATAATTAGATCATTTATAAAATATATAATATAATATATTATATTATTATTTTTTATTTTTTAATATTAGACATGTGAACAATATGATCGTATAACAAAGTTATTTAGTTCCTCATTAATCACTAGATATACACAAAATGGACACAATATTTTAATCTTTTCATGAAGTTTTTTTTAGATAAAGATGATTCCTCTCACCCAAACAACTAGGCATTTTTATGTTGTAGGTGTAACATGATAAAATATTATGTATGTGGCTGAATCAAACAAGAAGGTTGAGTATGGCGTATATGTTTAATACGGCTGCCAATAATTACGATCTAAGCCTTTGAAGTGGATGAAAAGTTCGAAAATAATTATTTTACGAAATCAATCCTACGCATACGTGTTGATAACAATATATACACATGGCACATAATATATATATGTATATATTATGTTCATTATTATAGGTGAAACATAATATTATGTACCTGAATAAAATGTCCCCGTTGTATATATACACCCTAAGAGGATCTATGGACGTAATGATTGTATAAACTCCAATATCAAATTTATGTCCATCAATCAACAGAGGATTATCAATATACTCTTGAATAAATGTGCCGTTTGAATTGAAGTCCAATTCTTTGATTGATTTAATTTTAATGCCACGGTGATTGTTCTGCTTCTGAACGAACAGTTTATGAGGATATTGTTCGGCCTAAAACAATAACAATTTATAGGTACCAAAGTATTACAATTTGTCAACCGCCGAACCTCAGTGTTGAAGACGACAGCTTTTAAACGAATAAAATAAAATTGTATAATACATTATTAATTAAACATGGATGTAAGTGAATAATGTAAACCCTGCAGGTAAGTACGCTGCTCTTTGATTGATCTCTTAGTCCAAATAATATTTTACTATTGTAACTTAAAATACTTGTAATAAATCGTTTCAGTTATATTATTAACTTATGTACACTTTGTGTAGATAATTTGTCCATTGTGCACACACAATATAGATATTTTATGCAATAATTAAATCTTAGTCCGTTTGATATTATACTATGTTTGACTATTTCTTTTAAATAAATTGTATAACATTTTAGATTTTAAAATATGTTCGCTGTAGGTTGAATAACTATTTTTTTTTTTTTTTGTAAATGTTACTATGTCAGTGGAAATATTTGGAAAAATGTTTGGTCATCTACTTAGGTATAATTCGTTTATGACAAATATTTTTGAAGGACAATAAATGGATACAAAGGTAGAGGCAAATGGCCGAGGAAGGCATATATAGAAGAAATGATAAACCAAGCTGACTGTAATCGATATATAGAAATGAAAATAATGGCGAATCAGATTTGAAACGACAAGGCCTTTAGTAGAGAAGAAGAAGAAGAACTTTACTATGTAAGACAACGATTTCATTTCGATGATTATTATTACCCAACAAGCTTTTAAAAGTTAATTTCAATAAAAACATACTAAAATATGCATATGCTTGACTGTATATCGTAAATTTTTACTTACTAACTATCAAAATATTATAACATTTTATACCTAGTGCATAAATATTAAATGGAATATTTATAATATAACTTACAAATGTGAAAAATTTTGATTTTTCTAATGGCATGTGAAAGGCTGGAGGTACATATTTTATGTTCGATGTTGCCAAATCAATTTTATTTGTTATAAAACCGATACCAGGGAAATGGTTGACCTTTAAATATAACAAATAAACATTTTAGAAATATATTAAAAATCAAGTAAACTGTCGATTGACGTAATATTTAAGACGTAAGTATATTTTTTGAAGCATTTTTGTATAATGTTTAAAGACCGTAAAAACTAAAACAAAAAAATGCATGCGAATAATATGCCCAACAATATCAAAGGTATGACTTTAAAACAATCAAACATGACATTGTAAAATGCTTAAATAAAAATTATATTAAATAATTTTATTTTTTCAATATATTATTCTATATATTTTTTAATTCCTAAGTTAAGTTAAAGTAAAATCTAAATAAAGTTTATATAATTAAAAGATAAATCAAAATTATCTAATAATTTAATTAAATTAGAAGTTGAATATTAACTGTTTAATTCAAGTTAATTAAAAAAAAAATTAAGTTTCAGTTTTAATATAGGCACAATTAAAATAATATCTAGTGAGACGTAGCTTATCAATTTGTATAAACGACAAACTTACTAGTCTTAATAAGTATAATAGGTGTATATAATATTTTGTACGAAAATATGAAATTATCATAATTGAAATTGAAATCAACTCAACTTGTTCAAATGTAAAGTTAACTCAGTAGATTAAAAGTTAATTATTTATTCTCCTTAAGTTAATAATAATAATAAATTAACTTCTTAAGTTGAAAAGTTAAATTAACTTAACTTAAACGTATCAACCCGTTAATGCCTAGCTTAGCAAAATTGTATGCTCTAAAAATAAAAATATTTAAAAGAAAAATAAGTAAAAATGTGATAAATGTTTGTATCTAATGGTGAAATTCGTGTGTATATAATAGTTCACAAGTAGGGGTATTATGTTATATTATCATTAGCAATATAGTTTATTTTCAAAATCCACTCATCAGTCTCATAAAAAAATGACTTATTATTTGTCTACCATTAAACTTGTGATAAGTTAATACTATCAAAATAGATAATTTAATACCTACACGAGCTGTTTAAAATCATTAAACGTAAGCGCTCGGTGTGTAGAAAGTTTGAACGCACACTTCGAGTAATTTGTATTAACGAGAGATTGTGTACGAGCAGGAAGGTAATATGATAAAACTTGAATTTCTCACTTTTTGATGAGGTTTCAAATTGGAAAACATGATTTGATCAGCGTAGACTTTGAAAGGATATTCGTGAGCCCATATAACGTCCCAATCCACTTTTTTATCGAACGGTCTTCTTGTGTACCCATAAACATTGAACACGTCAAAAACGTGCACCAAGTGTCCAGCATCAGCCTGAAACAATCACCGAATCACACATACGTACACACATGTACACAATATTTATAACGGATGATGATTATAATATTACAAACACAGTTGTATACATCAATATGCATTAGGTACGCAGGACGATTCTATATCGTGAACCAGAAAAAAATATCTCGGAAATCAAAGGCTCTTTTTTTTCTTCGACGGCACTTAATAAATGCTGATAATAATAGTAGAAGACGGTAACAATAAGAACAATACAAATAATAAAAACAGTTATTGTTATAACAGTAGGTGTACTTATATGTTTAAAATATGAAATCGCATACGCATTATACTACCGTACCTGTATTTCATAAGAAGATATTTCCGATATTTTTTTATAAGCACTTAAGATTATTGGTTCACGATAAAAAATACTCAACCTGAAATATGATTTATTAAGCACGCCCGTCTCATTTTCCCAGTACTTTTTATTCTTTACGCGACTTAGTGTTGCGATGACTTTCTTGTTCTAAATATGGAGAAATTCGAGTACTAATTTCCATTACAGTACCTGCAATATTTATTGTTATACATTTATTGATCATTCATCGCCAGATTACAGAGTCTCGTCATCTATACATAGGGGCTCGCTCAGAGTTTGATTGCGATTCGTATAAAATATTTCAGAATTATATTCCCCCGAGCCGACTGCAAGTCGCGGTCGCAGTAAAGGGTGGTTTCCGTCGGAGAAAAACATAATGTTGTTTGTTGTATCTACCATAATATTAACCTCTTAAGTTGAGAATAGGAAATCGAAGTGTTCATTAAAACTATTTAAGTACAATGACACAGATGGTATAAAAAAAAAATTAAAACAAAAAATATAGGTATAGGCGTGTCGGAATCGTGGTGAACCGCGGCGGTCGAATAAATCTCGCTGTATAGGTATTTCATTAATTTTTATCTAGGCATATTGTGTGTGGGCGAGAAATGTCTCACGTGTTTCGCCAGGACTATGTACGACGGCCTTTTCGCAGCCTCCGCGTGCCTTTGAGACGGCTGCCCGGCGTACGGCTCTTGTCCGTGATGGAACTTGTTGTGCTCGTACTGGATCCAGTTGAGCTCGAAAAAGTTAACGGCCAACAGGACGACGCACAGGAAAAGCATGAAGCCGACGACCAGCGGCATGGAAAACCATCGGAGCCTCATCCTGCGGCGACCACCACAGCCTCGCGAGACCGCAGAGCCGAGGCGGCAAAGGCGCGGACGGCCGCGAAACACGTAAAAATCAAAAAGTCTGCCCGCTGTCGGCGTGCGGCGAGCGTGAACTGCAACTGGTGGTCGGCGTATCGAATATTATACACGTCCGCTACATCGTACGGTCCTACGGGTTATAGGCATCCACACCTATGCCCGTAGCCGTGTGTAGGTCGAGCGAAGCGATCCACGTGGACCGGAGAAAGTGGGCCGTCCGATGACCCGACGCCGAGCTCATCCTTTCACTCTCGCCGACGAGTATATTATACATGTATATTGTATATATTAACATGGTATTAAATTATCTGCGTGTGTGTTTTGAAGAGTCAAAGTTATTCGTATTCCGAGTGCAGCGCGCCGCTTGAGCGTTCCATAGTATTATTGTTGTTACGATGACGTCCGGTCTCGAAAATACAGATGTGATGACGTTTGCGGTACAAGAAGTTTGGTATACGGCTGCGAGCGGTAGGAGTCGAAACGTGCGGTGTGAAACTGTTTTCGGGCACGAAACCCAAAACCCGAAAATCGTAAACGTGTTGGGATTCCCCGGCCGCGGTGGGGACACTCCGTAGGTTCATAGCGCGTGTGAATTTTCACGGAGGTCGTTTTTTTTTTTATGGCTCGTCTGCCATAAAAACG